GCAGGTTTTCAAACCAAACACGAGCAGGGTTTGTGAGGGGAAGGGGAGGCTGCACAGGGATGGGGTCAGTGCTTCACTGCCTGGCAGTCTGCCCTTTAAAATACAGAGTAGCAGGGAATGAAGCAGCTTTACCAGGATTTAAACCTCAGCCTTTTGCTTAACTGCATAAATCTAATTTGGTCTGGTTTGCTTAAGCGCCTGAAAAGCTCAGGAGCACCAAGGGGATGCCTGAGCTGCAGCTTTGGGGTCTCTTGGACTCTGTGTTGCATTAGGATCAGCCTAGGCATCATCCTCGATATTTCCTACCTTGATCTGTGGCAGTGTGCACCTGAAAGTTCATAGCAGACCTAAAATCAGGGCAGTCAAAACTGAATTTTTATTCCTTTCCCCACCAAAATCCACTTACTTTAGTTCTTCAGACACAGGCAACTTGTGTGCTCTTCTCTGTCTCTCTGCTGGGTGGGTTTGGCTTGACTCTGACTCATCTCTGAGCACTCCTGGCACAGCCAGATCTAAGCTATATTTAATTTTGGGTGATGCAATGACTTCAGCATTGAGGAACTCTCTTGGTCAGGTCATTCTCATCTCACACCCTCATTTGCTCTTTCCCCTGACAGCCTCTTCTTCATCCATGTAAATCCTTTTCAAATAGAGCTGAAATGACTGTTCCTGTAGTTCATCATTTAAGGGAATAGGGCACTTTTCCCTTTTTTTTTGCATTCCTTCATTGGAAATCTGCACAGAATTCAGCACAAAACACTTGTGCACTTTCACAGGCCCCCACAGCCTTGACCAACCCTTCTGATGGACTCCTGGTTTCCTTGTGCTTCCCAGTCTAAGAATCTGTGTGTATTGCAGAAATGTCATGGTTTAATCATCAAATATTGATGGCCAAAGCTGCAGGAGAAACATATCCACTGCTTGTCTAAGGGATGGATGTCTGAAGTGTTTGGTAAGACCATTTAACACTGAAATATTTACAGTGTAAAAGGAAAGCCCTGCTAGCAATGTTGTGATGAGAGAATTGAATGCTAACACATTACTTTATATAGTAAAGAATTATAAATGCAGCCATGAAAAACAAAATCAGATACTGGCCTGGAGTCTGGGCCTGATGCAACCTTATTTGGGTTGTTATTAAATCCCATCACCATGTCTATTAGGGCACAAAGAACTGCAGCTCAGGACTGAGCTGAACTCACCTGCCTGCTGCCTTTCACATAAATATAGATGATGAAATCAATTATACAAGAACCAGACTCCTTGCTGGCTCATTTCTCTCCTAGCAAGGAATCACTGAAGTTTCCAGAAGTTCAGTTCTTCCTAAACTCCTCAGAAGCTGGGACAACAGATTACCTAAAGGAGATTGCAAACCTCCAGCATGTCTGGAACCATGAAAAATATAATATAATATAATATAATATAATATAATATAATATAATATAATATAATATAATATAATATAATATAATATAATATAATATAATATAA